TTAATTTATATTCTTGATAACTGCAATTCTAACTGGGGTGAGATCTAACTTCTGAAACTTAAACTCAGAAAAATGTCACAATATCAAGTAGCATATTAAAAATTGAAAATGAAATAAATGATTATATTTTAAAGAAAGATCTGTTTAAATTTTAGAAGAACAGTAAGGCATTATCTTCATGCTTTGGAGGTTATGAAAAAAATATTAAATATGACCTAAAAACAAAGGATAACAAGCAATGATTGACTTAGTAGAGTAAAGGGACGGAGGAGCAGAAGGCATGGAGAAATGTTAGAATCTTGTTCTATTGTTGTTGTTATATGAATGTACTACAATAATATTATATATATATATATATATATATATATATATATATATATATATATACTTCACTAATAATAATAGAATGGAAATCAGTAAAGTAGAGCAAGCAGATGAGTGGGAGGGCAGGAAAGAGGGAAAGGGAAGGTACTAGGGAAGGGAACTGACAAATTATGTGCATATGTCAATATTGCCACCAAATCTCTGTATTCTATATAATTAAAATGCACCAATAAAATGTGTTGAAAAACAAAGATTCCCTGTCAGCTGTGGATGTGGATCAGTGGTAGAAAGTTTTCATATGTGTGAGATGCTGGTTTTAATCTTCAAAGCTGAACATTTAAAAAAAAAATATCTCCTGACTTGTGAGATGATATAGTCAAACTGAAAGAGTAGTCCACAATAAAATTGAAAAAAGTGATGCTACACAAATCAGAGCATTGATCAATGTGAAACTAAGCAAATTTAAATTAATAAGCAGTTTTAAGAAGACACAGAGCTAAAAATTTATATAAAGTTAAAAGTATACATCCTGGGGGCTGGGAATGTGGCTCAAGCAGTAGTGTGCGCGCCTGGCATGCGTGCGGCCCAGGTTTGATCCTCAGCACCACATACAAAGATGTTGTGTCCGCCAAAAACTAAATAAATATTTAAAAAATTAAAAAAAAAGAAAAAAAGTATACATCCTTGTTGGAAAATTGAATATAACATAAAGTGTGATTTCTCAAATGTTACAGAAATGATACAAAGTAAGTTCTGGATGGAAGTTGCATTAGGGGGAAGGAGAATGTTGTCCATTAAGGGAAACACACACTTCAAATTTACAGAGTTAGCCCCATATTGAAATGTGGGTGCTAGTGCTTCAATATTTAATTTCATTACTATTAATAGGTTCTGAATATTTAAATATGGATGATGAGTTTTTAACTAGACTAATAATTTATGTCTTCTCACGTTCTTATTTTAGATTAATGGTTATATAAGTAAGCATGAGCACACTGTCATATAAAAGAAAAATACTTTTACTGTTAGTTAAGTTATAATGATGATTGTAGCTATTTAGCAAGATTTCCTATTAATGCACTAAACTGATTTAAATTATATTTAAATATAAAAAATAATTTGCTCATCCACAGACTATCACACTTTCTTAATACAGCAATAATATTCTTTGAATATGAATGTTAAAACCAAATTTTTGTAAGTCTGTTTTTCTGATAGTTTTAAAAAGTATCTCATTTTACTTTGTTCTTAATTTAATTACCAGTGCTCAAATTTAATAGACTTAATAATTTGAAAATTTTACTGGTCCCTTCATTGAGATGCTTTATTTTTTTTCTAGTCATACTAAAATGTAAGAAATGATAGAAAAAAATGTAACTAATGGGAGCACAGTGCTAAATAAAAATCCTAGAAAACTAAAGAAAAATATATATGGTTATAGTCAGAGATAAGAAGTCAAATTTTATTAATCTAAAAAGTACAACTTTATAAGGTCTCTGTGGATTACTTATTCATGTGACTTAATGTTTCATGTACTTTTTCTGATGCATTCAGATAACATAAATCAAAGAGCATAGAAAGGCACAATTCTTTAGCTCTTTCCTGTCCTCCCATAATTTATACTACATCTGAGTCATTTCTCATATGTGTTTGGCATTATACAATGCTTCTTATTTTGGACTAGAGTAAGAAGCTTACAAATGTGTATATTTTAAAGAGATTCCTCTTAAGCCATTGATTTAAAAAACAAAATAGATTTCTATTCTATTTAATTCTCCTAGAAATAACAAGTGGAAAGTACATATATGTTGATAATAGCTTCTAGATAAATGTAACCAAGACCAAAGCTTTAGATATTCAGATAATTCAGGAAAATTAGTTTTAAATTGGGCCTGCAATTCTATAAATAGCAACTAAGAAAAAGAACTATGTAATGTTTTGAACAACCAACAATAAAAAAAAATACAGTGAAAAGTTAGCCAGGCATGATGCTGTCTGCCTATAATTCCAACAACTCAGGAGGCTGAGGCAGGAGAATGGCAAGTTCTCTCAGCAATTAGGCAATACCCTTACCAACTAAGTGACACCATAAAAAGAAATACAAAGGACTGTGAGCCAGTTGTGATGGCACCTTACTGTAATCTCAGTGACATGGAAGGCTGAGGCAGGAGGACCCCAAGATCCAAGTCACCTAGGCAACTTAGCATGACCCCATCTCAAACTAAAAAAATATAGCTGGGGATGTAGCTTAGTGGCACAGCACCCCCACTCCCCCGTTTCAATCCCTAGTACCATAAATAAAAAGTACTGGGGATGCAGTTTGATGGTAAAGGTCCTCTGAGTTCATTCTCAGTACAAATAAGTAGATATAAATATACAGTGAAAAGTTACTAAAGAAATTTAAAGGCTGCAATAGAAAATATGCACTTAATGCAAAATAAGAAGTAAAGGAAATAGAAGAAAGACAAGACATGAGACATATAAAAAACAAATAGCAAAAGGACACAAAGAAAACTGTCTCAATAATGACATTAAATGTGAACAGGTTAAACAATTCCAACTACAGGCAGAGATTTTCTGATTGTATTAAAAAAACAGTTCAACTATACACTGTACACAGGAAACATACTCAAAGAGGCTGAAATAAAAGATTATGATGTAGGAATGTAAGAGACATGCTAAAGTTTGGGGGGAAGAGTTAAGGAAGAGTTTTTGTATAAAATGAGTAATTTCAAATGCATCCCTGAACACAGGGGGATTTAAAAAGCCAAATGCATGTCCATAGGAAGATACATACTCAGCACAGGCCTGAGAAGACCCTAAATTTTCATCTCCGTATGATCCACAGACTTAACGCAAGTATAGAGTTAATCTCAAAAATTGGGAAAAGCATTATTTGTTTGTTTTAGCTACCAGTGATGGGGGGGGGCGGTGGAATGGAACACAAATGTGTTAGCCAGTGTGTGGCACTGTGGTAAAACATCTGAGATAATCCACTACAAGGGATTAGTTGAGACTCATAATTTCCAGGGTTTCAGTCCATGGTCGCTTGGTCCTGGATTTCCTTTTGGATCTGGGGTAGCACAGTACATATGGAAAAAATGTGTTCATGTCATGGAGGCTGGAAAGTGAAAAGAAAGAGAGGAAGAGTCTAGGATCCCAATATCACCTTCAATGCATGCTCAAAATGACCTATCTTGCTTCCATTAGGCTTACCTTCTAAAGGTCCCACCAACTCTAAATAGCACTACAGGCTGGACAAAGCATCCATATCTGGGCCTTTGGTAAATATTTAAGAACAAAACCAAACAAGCTAAGAAATACATACTTCAGTTACCACAGATGAGAATAAATACTCTTTTCAAAAGAAAAAGTTTACAAGGTAACAACAGACTACTGAAATCTTAAAAAATCAAAAAATAAAAACCTTGAAGATGGAAGTGAATTTAATTACTGTGCTTCCTCACAATAATATCCATATGCCAGGTTTCACCAAAATCACAAGGCTGACAAAAACCATAGGAAAATATAGTTCATTCAACATAGCACAACAAATGCACAGAAAATGTCTTTCAGAAGTCCAGGAAAAGGTTTTAAAACATCTGTACTAACTGATTCCAAGAGCTAAAGGAAAACATGACAGAGAAATAAAAGAAATTTTAAAAAAATGATGTTTGAATAAAATGAGAATATCAAAAAAGAAAAAAGTAACAAAAAAATAAATTCTGGAGGTTAAAATATAATGGAAATAAAATAATTCACTAGAAGGGTTCAACAGAGGATTTGAGCCAGCAGAAAATATAAAGGATTTAAATAAAGACACTAATTTGCGAATATGCATGACATATACAAAAACAGTATTATTGTATTTTTAATTTGTAACTCCATTTTCTTATTTGATAAATATTTAAAGGATAATTGCATAAAAATAATTATAATTATATATATATATATATATATATATATATATATATGCGCCTTTATTCATAAAATGAATAGATAAAATTTATGACAGGGACAACATAAAGATGGTGGAGTTAAATGGGAAGAGAATTTCTATATGTTTTTGAAGTACACTTGGTTTAAAATCAAACTAAGTTATAATAAATTTAGGATGCTAAATCTAATACCTATAATAACCATAAAGATAATAGCTAAAAAATTATCTAAACACCAAGGACATAAAGCTAAATTACAATATTTCACTACAAAAAATGAACTTTTAAAAATTGTGCTTAGAATCAAAACTAGGGCCTTATAGAACAACTGACAATAGCCAACAAACACTAATAAACTTGAAGGTAGACATGGATATTTCTGCCGTTATAGACAGAGATTTCAATACCCTACATTCAATAGCAGAGCATCTAGGCAAAAGATAAGTAGGGTAATAGAGAAAATGAGCAATATCATAAACCAACTAAGACTCATCGATACATATACATAGATACAGCTCTACATTCTGCAACAGCAGAATACACATTCCATTCCCTGGAGTGCATGCAAAACTTTCTACAGCATAGACCATATGTTAAGCCACAGAGCATGACATACAATCTTTTCCAATCACAGTAAAATGAAACTAGAAATAAGTCAGCTGTAATATTATACTATTTAAACTTTGTAAATACAAAAAAAGACTATTCTATGTTTAGATAAATCAAAACCCTGATTACCTTTGAACATAATGATGAGAAGGAGTCAAAAAGAAAACTTCCAGAATGCTCACAGTGTTCTTCTTGATCCACAATTTTTACATGAGTGTTCTCCTTTTGTATAAATTTGCTGAGCAATACAATCATAATTTGTGAAATTTCCAAATGTGTGTTGTACTGGAATATAGGAGTTTTAAAAAGGAATAGAAACATTAGAGTCCAGTTTCATGTACAAATGTAATTAAAAATATTTAAATAAAATATTAGCAAATAAAAAGCTATAGGTAGCAATATAATTTCATGATCATATTGCATTTATTCAGGTAAGCTTAATTTAAAACTATATGCTGTAAAATATCAGTCACCATTAAAAATAAGAATTTTAAACATAATTCTTTAGTAGAGAAAAACTATTAGCTACAATGAAGCTTTGCCTTACATTAAAGAAAACAAAAATCTCAAAGAATTTTGCTGAAGCAGAGCAAGCCAAGTTTTAACAGTTTCACAGGAATTATTTATAACACCTTGGGGAAGAACAGAATTTTGTGACCAGGACAAAAATACTGCTAATCTTAAATTAAAAGGATTAAAAATACAGCTGTATTAAAACAAACAATATGTCCCAAATACATCAGGAAGAAATTAAAATGTATATCACAATTTAAAAGAGTATGTTTACAACACAATGATTATAAATTGATTATTAAACATTCTAAATGATTATTCTCCAGAAAATATATCATCTTAAAAACAAGTAAAAGTGAATAAAAGGCATGGTTGATAAATTAGTAAAACATAATAATATTTCACAAAACTGAAAACAATGAATATTTTCAGGCCAGCTTTTTATAAAGCAAACACAATCCTTTTCTCCACAGAGAGAAAAATTCAAATTTCTTTACAGAAACAGACCCACAAAGGATTTGACCTCAGCAGCTATTCACTCCCTATAGTTGGTTGTTTTTGTTACAGACTAAACTGCTTTATTGAGCATTAGGAGTCAAAGTGGTCTATATCTGAGCTGATAATTATAACACTGGATTTTGAATTCTAAAAGAAGATAGCAATTACAAAATCAACTGGGGAAAACATAACTAAAAAGGTAAAGTACCTTCAGAAAAGAAATATTGGTAATAGCCGAACCAAAATTGTGGTTGGCTTGAACTCCAAAGTTTTGACCATGAATGCAGCTTCAGAGTAAACTGCTAAGTGACAAGCAATAATTTTTAGGATCAGGATTCAAATCATATCTATGCAACAATAGAAGCCTTGCCTTTTTATAGAAAATACCATTAGAAGAGAAAAACTGATATTGATTTTGGCATATTTTGACTTGGTCTGTCCTAAAGACTCAGATTTAGAAGGTGTCTCTATTTAAGATTTCCAAAAAGGAATGCTTGTCAAATTAGACAGCAAACATGTATCTCATTAACTCCCAGGAAATGTCAAATTCATTTGCACGAACAGAGAGTTAATGATGTGTTTCTGGATTTCTTATAAATTACTATTTTATACTCAATTTTAGAACACCCAGATATTATGCAAATTCAGACTTTTAAATAATTTCAGTAAACAAAAATTTTGGAAATTTGTAGAAATTAATACATGAATTTTTACTACACATCGACAAATGTATGGAAAATGTTAAATTAGTTTTACTCTGTATAGTGCCTAGGCTCCATTCTCCATACATGCTATACTATATAGTCTTTATACTATATATTATATATATGCTTTATGCATATTATATTCTACATTATATGTCCTTTATATATTAATATATTTTTCTGAGAGTTGGAAGAGTTATCTATGATAAGATTTCATATTATGTAAACCTGCCTCTTCTCAGAGTGCTGAAAGTTTTTTGCATTTTACTTAGAGACAGGGTCTCACTGAGTTGCTTATCGCCTCACTTTTGCCGAGGCTGACTTTGAATTTGCGATCTTCTGGCCTCAGACTCCTGAGCCACTGGGATTATAAACATAAACCACCACCCCCTGCACAATTTATTCTTATATGAAGGTTCTAACCTTCAAGTTTAAACAGAACTCTATATGTTAATTAAACAGACTCCTATGTTAATTAAAGTCCTTATCTTTAGACCCCTCTTATAAAGCCATCATCCCATAAAGGGCACCAGAACACCAAGACTAATACGACATTCCTCTGTGTACGTGCTATATGAAGTGACATACTCTTTCCTTCAGGTTCTACCTCTGTGATGAGGTACTCCATTCAGAGAAAATACCTTCAAAGAACACTCTGATTATGATGTCTCTGAAGAAACATATGGAAACTTCAAGGTGGACAGACTGTTTCCTTTTTGCCCCTCCAATATTAGTGTCCACAGTTTTTCAAAGATACAATTTTTGAAATGGTGAGGATATTCAAGGAATCTCAAGTCACAATAAAAACATATTTCATAAATGCTCCAAATTGCCTTCAGTCCATGAAACATATGCACAAAGAAACTACTAAATCATTACATGTGATTTTCTAAACTCCAATTGAAGACTTCCTTTCCTTTCCTCAGTTTTCCATATAACTTTCAATTATTTCATTTTCCCTTAGGTGATGTCTTATCTTTTTTTTAATTGACTTAATTACTAACCTTTTACTTAATTCAATTACTATATTTTTATTTATAGAACTATCAATTCTTCATGTGACTGATTTACATCATTTCTCTCACAATTTTTAGCTAATTGTATAATGAATACTTTAAGCTTATTTTTAAATCTCTTTCACAATACTCTCAATATGTCTAGCTTTTGACTGTCTTGACGTACATATCAGGAAAATTGTTTTCTGTTGCATTTAAGAGACCTGAAATATAAACTCCCTATAAAAATTGAATTTTGTGATTGATACAGATTTCTCAGTTCAATCCACTTTCCAAAATTATTTTTGTTGCATAATTTCTAGAAATTAAAGATGACTTAAGCAAGATCATATGACTATCAGCATCTTAATTACTTATTTCATATCCAAAATATGGGGGTAAAAAATGTATAGTCTTATTTCAAAGAAGAGCTATCATTTCTGCAATAATGACTTAATGACATGGGCTCAGTTTCACCTCTCTAGTTGTATTTGAGAATCTATGTCACAATTGTACTTGGAGTTATGAGTTTATTACTTTTTGAAATATTGATTATAGCAATTCTACTGTGTCCTCGTTATATTTGTAACTTTGAATTGATTCCCTTTTTGCATCCATTGATCTTAATTATACATGTTAAAAAATAATCTTTGGAGGGTCCTTTATTTTTTTTCAGTTTTTCAGTGTGGAAAACTTATTCTCTTAGTTCAGTTCACCATGTGACATGCATCCCCTCACTCCCATCAGAGTGTATCATTTTTCAAATATATGGCCAAAATTCTTAGCTTTCTATTCCTAAATTTATCCCTCACACACGTGACTTCATCTTGCTCTATGTGTTAGGCCCTTGCATCAATAATATTTGGTCAGCAAATCTAAAATACACATTCCAGAATAACATTCCATGAGATATACTACAACTAGGCTAGACTTGTTGCTTAAGAATACACATACGATTTAAAAATGGTACAAACATTCCAAGCCCTGGCACTTAAAAGATTTCTGTCAGCATGAGAGATCATATGCTTTTGGATATTTTTGGAAATTTGGTAAAAATGAGATCAAATAATCACCTATACAAATATTTCAGCAGTATTACTCAGCCTAGTGAGACCACTATGTGATAGAAAGGTATTTTCTTATCTGTTCATAAAATGTATGATAGTTTCTTCTAGTGGAATATGACTTGACTTTATTATTAGAGCAATGTCAAAATGCTTCCTCTGTTGGGGCTGGGGATGTGGCTCAAGTGGTAGTGCGCTCGCCTGGCATGCGTGCAGCCCAGGTTCAATCCTCAGCACCACATACAAACAAAGATGTTGTGTCCACCAAAAACTAAAAAATAAATATTAAAAAAAAATTCTCTCTCTCTCCCTCTCTCTCTCTCTTACTCTCTCTTTAAAAAAAAAATGCTTCCTCTGTTTATCAATGGTTCCAGACCATGTAACTGGGCATAAGGATCCTGCACTCATCTTTTTGTTTTATTTTCACCAAAAATTGGTAAGGAAATCTTCATAATTTCCAATTAATACTGCATATAATTCTAAGTCAAAACATAATCTGAAATGAAGCATTGTCTACCCATACAAGGATTTGTGATAGTGAAATAAAAGGCATTATGGGCCAATGCAAATAAAGAAGGGAAATCATCTCTTTTTATTAAATTTGATATCTTATATAAGTTTGGCATTTTGTCTTAACCAACCTCCTACATTACAGGATTTTAATATGAAGATTCTGAAACCTTTTTAATATGTGCTAATTGATAATTTAAAGATCTGTTAATTTTACTTTAATTGTGGTAATATTATTTTAGAACCACATCAATTCCATAGTATTGATAATTCAAACCCCACAAAGAGTGTGTTTAAGAGTGAAAAGTTCATAGAGTTTCATAAATAGAAGATTCATATTCTCAGAAATTTTGGAAAATTTCTATCAATTAAATAATTGATCTAAGAATTTCTTTTTCTAACAATGTATAAAGTCTAAACTCACAATGCTAATTTATGAGAGCATGACTTTTAGTAGGTTTATATCAGTAGAAAAAAATAATTATGTAAAATAGAAGATAGATGGTTTTCTTTAATATTCATTTGTAACAAGTTGTATTTATTACTAAGGAAAAAATATTTCCTTTGGTTGAAAGCAAGCACTCTGTTGATATGACGTTATGTCTTCCATCAGTTTTTTTTGTAAAACTATGAAAAACAATTGCTTTGAAAAAGTAATCATTATTCGGTTCAATAAAATGTTTTTTAAGATAAATATACAGATACCTTGATAATTTACTAATGATCCCATCATGGAATATATTAAGATTTATTGCTTGATTAAGGTAATGTTTGCCAAATATTTCCATTTTTTCCTTTGATTTTAAATTATATTCTATGAGATAATATATAAGACCTTTAAGATATTCAATGTCCATAATTTAATGATTTTACATAAATTTATGATTGTGCCTCAATTTTTGCCCTAATGATTATTCAATGGTAATTTTCTATTTCTATAATTTTTTTTCTAAATTTTGAATAAGCATTCTTCTATAAGAACAATTTCCTCCCTTTTTAAT